AAGCTGAAATAAGTTACAATGAAATTCAAGGAAAGGAATCCAAAAGCGGATACTGGTAGTTAAAAATGGTTTTTAACATATTATTTTTAATGCTTAAATGGTTTATAAAGAGAATTAGGATAAAGCTGAAGATATGAAACTATACCTATATTGTCTCTAGAAGGATTATAATAACTAAGGTAACGTACTGAATTACAAATTTGTTTTTAAAATATTTCTTTAAGTAGCTTTCTGAAAAGTTTTTTTCTTTTGCTCAAAATTTTCTCATATGTACTTACTTATTATGGCAGGATTATCAGGTAGTATTTGCATACTGAGAAAATGACAGAAAGGTAGAAATAGGCAAGATTGGCATAGATAAGGCTTAGACTGAAAGTAATGATTAAAAAGTTCTTACATTTGTGAGGGGTGACCAGAAGATCTAGAGTTTTGTGGGATAGGTTGGGCCAGATTGCCATCATCTCTTTTCTCAATTCAGCATCCATCTGCTGTTTGTCAGCCCCTCCTAGAAGATTCAAACCAGGAATGAGAGGAAAAAACAAATGGCTAGACATCCCAACTCCACCTCTTCCCATTGAAATGTTAAACATTTACTTTTTATCAGTGTCGACACTAATTTTGCTTTTTAAAATGCTATTACAGTTTATATTCAAATTTGATAAAAGTATTATTTAAAAATGTTTAATCATTTAACAATCGCTTCAAATTAGAGGTGAAAAATAGCATTTCTGATTGTCTATGATCTGAAAATATTTCTATAATCATCTGGAAAATCAAGAGAGATGGATTCTAGTATTATGTTTCTAATTTTCTAAATAAAGGGAGAAATTGATTGAGGTGTAAAAATGCACTGTGTCAAAAGAAGAAAAAACTGAAGCAGATTATTACAACAAAATGTTTCATCACAACTGCAAATTAGGAATTATTAATTAATCAATGAATTAATAATGCACATGTGATTTTTTTAAAAAAAATCCAATGCTCTTGCCTTCTTGAAACTGTCAACACTGCAGAGTACTTATTCTGCATCAATTCTCCTTATTTGTATAAGGTATTACCACAAGCAGAGTTTGTATTCAACATTACCTCATTATTAGTATCTGAAAATGTGCTTTATTTAGTCTCATTTCTCAAAATACCTTTATTTGCCAGCAAAATAACCGGATCTATGGAAATGGCACTTGCCTTTGGCAATCTTGATGTCAAGGGCAGTCCTGATCAATGCCATAAGAGTAGAATTGAAATGGACTGTGTTGTCGTCTGCCACAGGTAAATCCATTCGTAGTAATCTCTGGAGAAATTCAAGCAGAAATGTGTGAATCTAGGATCTCCTTCACTTTCCAGTTTGTCATGCATAGAGGAATATAAGAGCCTTGGGGAGAACTCTGAGCTCAGAGACTTTATCTGTGTTGTCTCTATTATTCAGATTATCCATACCAATGAACTACTTGCAACCGATCTACTTCATTTTTCTTTCACCCAACATTTTCTATGCACAGATGCTATGGATTTTCCACCAGCCATGTGGAAATTTGGTTACAAGTAATTCTACATAATAATTACATAAATGTCCAATTAACTATGAAGCATGCGGCTGAAAAGTTCATTGCATCACAATACTTGGAATCTATTTCCACATTAATGTAGCTAGGATTTTTAGCAGAGTTAAAATTGTTTTTAGACTTCCGTTTTAACCCTTAGATTCTGCTGCTCTATAGACTATAGGTTTCAATACTCATAGCTCTGCTTCCAGACTTTCCCCACAATTGCTCACAAAATTCAGGATTTTCTGTTCAGGATCCTCACTTGAATTCACATGATGCTTTACTACCGTTATCAAATGAATCCCATCTTCTAACTCCCACAGAGTTCTCCCCCCAGACCTCAAGTTGCATCTGTATTTTAAAGTAAAAATTGAAAAGTAACACAAAGTCCCATCTTTTCAAGATAGCAGACAGCAGCAGTAAAGGGATGGGTTCAAGGAGAATGCATTCAACCATTGACCAAGAGCAAGTTTTGTCAAATGTGCAAGGTTAGAAGCATGCAAAAGAAGCATGCAGCATGCAGCATGCATCACAGCACTGCACAGTGTAAAGGCATCCACAGAATACATATTGAGACTCATTCATAGCTCTGATATAGATTGATCTATAGGGAGAGATCCAGACTGTGGGCTCTTGGTGCAAAAAATGGGTGCATCCTTAACACAAAAAAAGAAAGAAATGAAACTGGCAGATCATAGGCCATGTGCCATTCCTCTGAGCCAAGGCTATGGGCTTGAGATCACACAAGATGCTCAGGGTGGGGCTCGATTAGCTAGCGCATTAGCTGAGATAGGCTGCGGACTAATGGAAATGGGGGTTAGACAGTAACGGGTTTGGGAGTTTGTTAAGTAAATGTCACTGAACAGAGGTGCACAGGATGATAGGTAAGATCAAAACAGGGAAGGAAGAAAGCAAGAGAGAAAGTGGGAGGCACACATACAAGTGATGATGACACATTCAGCAGAAGATCCCTGAGGAACCTCATGTCCAGAAAACCTGTAGATCTTGAAGATCAGCCTGCACTGGAGGCCTACTGAAAAAAAGCTTACCCAGGGTTTGTGCTTCTGCATTCAGCATTCCCTCTTTGGCAATTTGTTAAGAATGCTGCCTGTTCCCTTACTTCCTTTGTATTTTTCAACTGTTCATCAACAGGCTACAAGCTGGTGTGTAAACTCCAGTTCTGTCATATAATTAAATCCAATTTGTCAGAGATAATCCTTTGCTTCTGGCCATGTGCAATGTCTTGTGTGGAGGTGAATGGTGAGTCACTTTCTAGATAGGATGAGGTAATAATGTTCCCAACCCCATCATTTAGATCATTCCTTTGTATTGTATTTTGAAAATTAATTCACTGAGGATTGTGGGATGGCACTTCAGATATTTTGGCAGTTCATCTAGAGTAGTTGTAGAAATTATAATTTTATTGTGCAGCCAAAATCAAATAACTACACAACATAGGAGGATTCAGCTATTATTACTCACTAGTTGCAGTTTCCAGGATTTCATACATTAACAAGAGTTACTCCTGCAACTGCTGTATATTTCCACAGAATAATAGTGCTTTAATTTGAGGTCCAGCAGTACTGTCCTGGATTGCATGATAAGCTTTCACTCAAAGGTTATCACATTAAAGCATTCCTATTCTACCATTAAAAAATGCATGGATAAGGCCTTGGCGTAGCATTAAGTTGTGAACTGTTTTTTCCCTGTTCCAATTTTAACCCCAACTTTATTCTTACCCTTTTTGTTTAATCAAAGAAACATCCCAAATATGTTTTTATACTGGCTCAAGTAATCTCAAGACCTGCTAAAGTATAATTTCCTTCACCAGATTGTGTGTACTTGTACTTTACATAATTTCACTCATAGTCTTCAGCTTCTCCTTACTGAATTTGAAGTTTCTCGTGACTTTTTATTTTTGTAGTACAGAAAGCCCTAAGACAGTAGCTTAGATTCTCATGCACTGGAACAAGATGGTTTAAGCAAGTTAAGGGAGATGAAAACATCACATTGAGTTAGCCAGAGTGTGAGGACTATTGAATATGAGAATGACAGGTTATATGTAGATTCCAGATCTGTAGGGGACTGAGCCTTTAAGATTGTTATTTGATACAGAAGTAAGTTTGTATACTAAGGAATAATAGCAGAAAAGAAAATGGGGAATGATGGATGGTAGAGGTAGCAATTCTTCCATTAGGTCAGATAAGGCAATCAGAAACTCTCATTCCTTCCCCCACAGAGTCATGGATTTGAGAATCATTCCCTCTCTCTGGACAGCCAGTGGCATATATAAGTGAACCTAGGGATACATAATGATAACTAATTATAAAAGTATAAATAGAAGGATTAATCAACTCTAGGGAGGGAGGGAGATTACTGTAGGGTTAGTTCTAGGAAATCTTTTTTACTCAAAAGATGTATAGTTGAGAAACAGAAGCACAGCCACGGAAATAGTACAAGTAAGAAAGATCCTCTGTATCTTGATACTGAAGCCTTGACCCAAAGCTTCTTTATCTTAAGTTTTGCATATCATGTTAACCTAGTATTCCCCAAATAAATCAGTTTACACTAAGTAACAAAACCTATGGATTGAAACCAATGGCTCTACTTGTCAGGAATATATAGACTATTCTGTGGTCTTCTTTAGTCCCCATGACAAAGACAAGACGGCAGTCTTGTTTATTGATCTATTTATGCATTTCTCATCTTGTAAGTCCACCTTTATTTGAAAACTACTTTAATACTTCAAGCTCTATCAAAAGCAAAGTTTGCAGAAACTATTTGCATGCTGTATTCAGACTGGTCTTTGAGAACATAACTCTTTTATTGATGGAAGAACAAGCTGCTGTGTGATTTGAGTTCATATCCTCTTCTGAACCTTTACAATTTGTGTTTAGAGCTCATTATTTGATAACAGAACATAAATGTAGCATTTTGAAAACATGGCTATATGTGCCTCCTCTTTGAAGCACTGCTCAGTTGAAAGAGCAGATTTTCTGTAAATGCAGCTTTTGTCTTCAAAAGCAACTGAATTTTCCATTTTTGATCAGTATATTCTTAAGATGAGTAACTGTTACTGAGATAGAAAAGAATATCTTCTTCAGTTTTTCTTTCTGTTCATAGCTTGCATTGCTTTGAGTATCTTCATACACAGAAATGTAGCAAGTAGTTACATGGAAGTGGGTTTGTTTCCAATGCAGTAGTAGTGTACAACAAAGATGCTTCCCCAGTCCTTATATTGCTACCTTTTCAGCACCATCAGTGTTTTATCTTCTCAGTTACGTAATCTTTCTACAGTATTTCAGTCTCCATAGTATTTCAAGAATTTTATTACTCATTAATTTTTAGAGCGTCTGTTTAACAGAATTTTTAGTTCATGTGTGTATTGATGCATTTTGTATAAATTGATGGTTTTACTATGCATCATCCACAGAACTTCTAAACACAGAAATGAGTAAATAAGAATAAAAGAAAAATACATAAACAAAAGTTATTTCTATAGAGAAACACTATAGCTTAATATTAAAATAAACATTTGCACATGGAAGATCTTGACCTCAGTCATGTCCCTTAGAACCTGACAAAGGGTTCATAGTTTACAGTTGGAAAACAATTAGATATGAGTAAATAAAGTAACATTTCTTGGCTTAAAGCAATTTTATATATTCATTTGGCAGTTCTCATGTCTGTTACTGTTAATTTCAGTTAAATTGGGGCATTTCTTCCAGTTCCACAATCCACAAGCAAAGAAAGGCAATGTAGCTTGATCCTCTTCTTTTGCTCAAGTCTCATATTGCTTCTTCCTCTTTTCTATCTTAACTTTATTTACAAAACTATCCTTAGGTATTGGTGATTGTATGAAAACTTTTAATTAATATTTATATTATCCTTTGCCCTTGTATCATATTTAAACAGTAGGAGTCCTTCAACATAGTAGAAGGCTCCTAGTGTTATCAGTCAAAAGGCATCATAGATCTATTCCATCTTTTCCCCCTTAAGAATTTTCTCTGGAAAAAATGACAGAAGAAATGGTGAGAAAGGACTAAGCATTTTGAATGGAAGATGTAGACAGTATGCATTATAAAAAGTGATTATTTTCAAAGCAAGTGATGGAGTACTTAAGTTTCCAAATGTGCCTGAATGATTAGCACCTGGTGTTGTGTTCACCAACATTCTTGTTGCTTATGTTGTAATTTATCCTTGTCTTAGCAAGGTCATGTTCATTGCAAGATAAATGGGAATGTTTACTTTAAATGCTTATTCTCTGAGTCCAATAGAGGATATTTTCTACCTCAGGATGTTGTATCTCCTGGAGCTAGTAGGTAGGGTCCACAATTAAATTTGCCTTTTCAGAGGATGAGAAGCCATATTATCTCCCAGATTGTCTTAGAAAAGCAAGACTATTTCTTCACAATGTAACTAACATTTCTTAAGTTTTCGCGGGTATTTATATGTATGGTATTCAGCTTTGTTCAGGTATTTTCCCACATCATTATAGTTGTGCTTTTAAAGTTGTAGCAACGTTTCGGCAGAATCTCATCTGCCATCATCAGGCTTCTGTAGACGAACACAATACAGAAGCCTGATGATGGCAGATGAGATTCTGCCAAAACGTTGCTACAACTTTAAAAGCACAACTATAATGATGTGGGAAAATACCCAAACAAAGCTGAATACCATACATATAAATACCCACAAAAACTTCAGAAAAAAACTTAGATATATATACATATATACATACATACAT